CGGGAGGGAGGGGTGCAGGAAGAACGGGTCTCTCGGGGTGACTGCCGAGCACAGCTCAATCCGGGCCCAGAGTACCTATTAAATGAAGACAGTGGGAGTTACCGGGCTTATTCCAAGTGTATCTTGCTTTTCTGTATTTCCAATGGGTAACCTCTAAGACGGTGACCTCCATTTAAACCCACTCTTATCCTTTTGGCTGGCAGTTCTTTCCAGAGTATTAAAGGCGAATTTCAGTTTTTAAGGAGCTAGTTGATCAAAAGTATATTCGGGTTCACTTGCTTGGTGTCCTTTGCCAACCATGCTTCTTCCCTTTTATTTTTCTAAACTGAGAAGCTGAAATCCTGTTCGCCCGCACTTTATTTTTACTCGCCCACTGTATTAGACCAGCATCGCTATTATATTAATGTCAGATCCGGTCCACAGTCGAGTGTGAATGCCGTCACCCTGACCCTTCCAGAGTTACCAACTTCAGCGCATTCGTTGGGTTTTTCAATGTGGCCGCAGAGTAAATAACACAACCCCAGGAGGCTCTAACATTCCCAAACCTACAACAAGCCTGCAAAGCCGGTGGAGTATGAACTTAAAAACTAGATCAGTCTTATCTTGTGAAAAGGAGATAAAAGGTAGTTCTGTCTGTCGGTGAGGACAGCCGTGCTTGAAGCTGTAAACCACCCGAGAGTAGAAAAAGAAGCCGGGCAGCATGTGTTAAATTCCAATTCCTGTCCTTGGAGAAAGTCTTCAGCTCAATAGACATTTAAAAACCAGACGAACGAACAGTTCGGTCCCCCAAGATGTCCTCACGCTGACTGCTGAGAAAGCATGGAGCCAGCAACAGCAACGGTCGCTATTGTAGCGTCATCTCATGGCACTGCACCGAGGACTTCAACATGCACAGAAGTGCAGATGAGCGGACCCTCCAGCAGGGCCCCTCCGCCGCCGATGGCGCCCCAGCGCCTAAGCACAGAGCGGAGCAGGATCTACCAGCAGCAGCACGAGTTCCTCAAGTTGGCAACCAAAAAACTCAGTGCAAGTTCAGTGTCCGCAGAGGCACGGAGGAAAGGTGCTTGGGTAGGCCGAGAAGGAGCCGGGGGCGTTTGAGAAAGGCACGGGCTCCGTTTGCAAACCACAGGCTGGCAGGCGGATCCGGGGCTCTTCCTACAGCTGCTCCGCGCCCTCAGGAGCCTCCCGGGTGAGCTCGGGCACGGGTCCCCCCACCCGGACGCCCCCAGAGCACCCAGGAGGGCAGAGCCCGAACTCCTGACCCACGGACACTACGGGATAAAAAGCGGTGGTGGTTTTAAGCTGCTACACTCATAGTAGTTTGTTACACAGCAGTAGAAAAAATAATGGACCCTCCATCCCATCAGTGCTGCAGGCCCTCACCCTGGCCCGGGGACTCCTCAGATGGCCCAGGGCAGTCGAAGGCCAGCGCGCAGGGACTCACCTGGGGCTGTTGGAACAGCAGGTGCGGAGCCGCGACCCCACAGAGTCTAACCCATTCGGTACAGAGTGAGGCCCGTGCTCCTGCCATTCTAACCGTCTCCCAGGTGAGGCTGACGCTGCTGGTCCACAAGTCACACCTTCAGAGCCACAGGGCGGCCACGGCCACATGGACTTCTTTGCACTTTAAGTGCGCTCAGCAGCGGAACACTAAGAGACACCAGCATCCGATTTAAGCAGACAGTTAGCATCCTTTCACATGAAAGGTTTCCACAAAAGGAGAGAGAAAGAAGAGATCTGATTAAGTTACATTTATAAGGCTTAATACCTCATTTTCATTAGGCTACCTGATTCATAGTGCTCCTGGGGCCGGTGGGCAAACGCTTATGTCCATAGATCACTGATACGTGACTTTCCTCCGTATTATAATTTAGATCCTTTCTTTTCTGTACCGTTTTCATTATAGCAGCCTGATTTATACTAGAAATTGTTAAAATGCCATAACCTATATTTATACTTGGAATTGTTCAAACGCCATATTCAGTACTCTAAGAGGGCCCAATAAATTTAGGCTAAGTTCATCGTATGCCTGTTGTCACTACCTAACAAGTCAACATTTTCAAAAGAATTACAACTACTCATAATAGCACCATCAAGGAACTGTGAATTTGCCATCCATCTGTTTTAGTATTAGGTTTAATAGCTGGGCCCATACACCACGGATCTAAATGGCACTGTACACACGAAGAGAGTACCATACACCTAGGCTTTTTATGTTTGATGCTCCAAGTTGGTTAAATACAAAAATCACTACATTTTATTTTCATTTTCTAGAAAGTATATTTTTTTTTGACAGAAGTGCCTCTTTCTATGCTAGAAACTTCCAATAAACTGCAGAATGGTGAGAACTACATTTATAAATGAGTGTTCATATCAAAGGGATATATATTACATCATTTTTTTGTGTGATTGCTCCTGAGCCCTTCCTCAGCACACACTCTGAGAATTACAGTGAATTCTTGAAATCCTGAAGGGATGACCTTGTTATGCTAGGCTTTAAGATACATTTTTAAACAACAAGCCTTCCAATTAAAAACGAAAAGAAATTAGAAATAAGTGTTTGTGGGAGGAAATCACATCGGTAAATCCAAGATGAAATAATACAGGAAAGTTGAGAGTTAAAAGGGGTATGTTAATTTGCTTAAGGATAATTTCTTATAGATAAGGTAACGTTAACACAAAAATATCAGCTCCTGGGAGAAAGGGATTTTTGTCTGTTTATTGATATGGCCCTGTTTCTAGACTATTTAGCACAGATGAGAAGTCCAGAATGTTGACTAAAAGAAAGATTGGATCCCCAGTCATACAAAATACATCTGTGATGTTGTGTGTGCTCAGCACTGCCAATCAGGAATGTGGAAACAGCTCAGATTCTAGCACATGCTAGATTTTCAATATAAAAATGAAAAATACAAAGCCTTGGTGGTCCAATGTCCACCAAGTGGCATGGAAAAGCCAGGTATATAAATAGCTCTGGCACAATGGGATAAATGAAGAAAGAAAAGAGTTACATATAAGTATTATCCGTCCACAGACTGGCTGAAAAAGCTCCAAATAACACTTGAGCACTTATGTGAAAAGATGAGCAGAGACGGCAAAAGAGGACCAGCAGCCGAGGCAAAATGCAGAAGTGTCATAGTTCACAGAGCTTTTGAAGAACAATACACTATGGATTTCAAACTTTCCCACTGTCAGCTGTAGCAAGAAATGCATACAGTTTACTTAACTGAAACAAGTTTCATGAAATAACATTCAGCTTTACTCGTTTTATGCATTTAATATTTTCTATTCTTTTAAAAACTATGTACCCCGCCCCCCTCCTCTACTGCAGTGGTTCGGATTTAATCCGTTTGAGGTGGGACAGGGGCATAGATAGGTGTGTTGTTGTTGTTTTTCAAACTCCACAGAGGATTGTAATGAGCAGCCAGGACTGAGAGCCCTTAGAAGTACAGCTGAGGATGTGAGGTGAGGTGAATAACCCTATTCCATCAAATGACAGGTTAGCGAGAATGGGGTGAAGGAACTTTCCCCAAGATAAAAGGAATAAAAGGCCCACTGGTTAAACAGAGTTCCTCACTACAAGAAAATAGTCAGTTTCCTTCTATGTGATGTTATTTTTAGCAGAGAAAAATGGGATTCTCACCTTAAGAACACGCTCACATAGACATCACACATATTCAAAATATAGTTTACTTCTACGGTGAACGGCAGAGGTGTGAGATGAACAGCTGAGGGCTGACTGCCAGAGGGGAAGGGGGTCCCAATCTTGCCCAGACACAGGGGAAAACGGAGCGGCAGTGGGAAGCGGTCACGGGGGATGA